ATTTTTACCGATCAATCACGAGTTTGGTCTTCGAATTATTTATAATCGCCCAGTCGGATTTTTACCGATCAATCACGAGTTTGGTCTTCGAGTTATTTATACTCGCCAACTCGGCCAATACCCGACTGTACCCTCAGTACAGGTATGGTCGGTCGGGGGCCGACACAACTCTCGCATACAGGGACTACCCGATAGCAAGGGCAAGGTCCCACTGTCCCTCACCAAATATTAGCCAGATCAAAACGGTTAAGGAAATCCCTACATTCTCGGGACCCATAAAGCCCGTAAACAAGAAACTATAAAAGAAAAAACCCTAGAGTTGAGAAGGCATATTACACTTTTGAATGCTCTGGCTCTAAGGCACGATCTAGGAAAAAATCTTAGTCCACCCTTTGGCCGGAACAATATTAATAATATATGTAATTCTTTTACTTAATTACCCGACGTAAATTACCTAATTTACGTCGGTCTACGAGAGACCCGACGTAAATTAGTTTCCACTTATTTATGAAACTGCCACCGCATTTTTACAACGTTGGTGTTTGTGGTTTGCGACGTACACCATATATCTTCGTCATATTCTAACCACTCATTTTTGTCAAGTAGTAATCCAAACAAAATATTATACATATTAAAAATATTTCATAATTTATAAATTGGAAAAAGGAATTACATGTGATTCAAGATATACATATGTACCTATAACATATGTATCACTTAAAATTTAGCATAATCACACTTTTATGTTTAAGGTTTACCCAATTTATTACTTATCATCATATATTCATACTCGACATGTCTGTACAGCATGACCAATGTCCAAGAGGATATTTGCCCTCTATATCAAATTAATATCCAAGAGGATACACCAAAAAAATTTAATTTTATTTAATGATGTGTCAATTCATTATTAAATAATAGTGCATTAATAAAACATCAAGATGATAATTGATCAAATTTAAATTCTCATTTATGTCCTTGCGGCACCCGAGGCATTTATTTAATGCTAAGAGAAAGTAGACCATAGAAATGTATTTTAAAATTATATGTTGTTCAAGAAAATGCAACTAAAGGAAAGTATCCTACGTTGCACATGGAATATATATGTTCTATGACCCGATGACGTTAATGTTGTAAAACTAAATAATGTCATCTAAATTCTAAACAATCAATTTCAAACTATTGTGGCCGACCTAGTTACTCTAAGCAATCTGGATTCATTGGAGTTATAAGAGACCATTTTTTTTTTTAAATATGAAAAATTATAAAAATGGTCGTAATAAAGATTGAACCTAGATCGTCATGTTTCTAATTATTCAAATCTCTCTTCACCCAATTATTAGACTAATTCTAGTAATTTATAAGAGATCATGTTTAAGAAGGTAGGAGACTATATAATATAAAAAAATCTCCTAAAAAATAAAAATTAGAGATATACAATAAAATATACAACAATGAAATAAAAAAAAATATAAATATAAGTATACATGATTTGAAGTGAGAACTGGGCTACCCTAAAAAAAGCTCCACATGAATTTCTGCAAAGCTATTCTAATTTGCCTTTACAAAAGTTCTTCCAATTAGCCTTTCTATTTGTTTTTATAACACCTTTCTAAATATTCTTTATTTTCGCTATTTCTCTTAAGAAAATATGTTACTTTTTTTTAAAGAACTTTTATATAAAGAGTGTTTGAACTTACGTATTTTTTTCTTTTAGAGAAAAAACTAAAATAAAATTAAGCCTATCACTTCATTTTTTTTTCTTTTATAATTTAATAAGGAAGTGTAATTTTTTTTATAGGGTTGTTTCTATAAGAATAAAATGACATCTTTGAACGCGATTGCATTTCAAATCGAAAATCATATTTGAATCAATTTCTTAAGTAATGAATTATTGGTGTTAACTATCGTTAACATTGCTTAAATTATTAGATAAATATTAAATTATATAACTGGTAAACTGACTTAAAAGACGAATTTCAAATCTAAAGTATTTAATTTTTATACCTTACATTGTATAAATGTGTGACACAAAACAAAATGTATTTCTTTATTTCTTGAAGTACAGTATAAATATATAATTGATAAAATATATATTTTTTAATTTCTATAGTTTTATTTATTTTATCTTTTAGTTTTTATAATTTTAAAAGAATATTTTTAAGTTTTTATACTTATTTTTCAATATTTTTAATTTTCATAATTTTAAATAGAATTTTTATACTTTAATTTTTTTTTAAATTTTTTTATAACCTTATTTGTTTTGTATTAATTTAGTAAATGTCTTCAATTTTATAAGAATAAAAGAAAATTCCTTAACAATAAAAGTGCAGATGATGATACAAAAGACTGAAAGAGATATGAAATATCAAGAAACTTAATTTAAAGTAATCAAACAAAATAAATTTGATATAAATTATACAAATTTAAATTAATATAATGTCACATCAATACAAAAGAGATAGAGTTAAAAAAAAATAGTTAATAACAAATATTAAAATGATAAAAAAAACTAAAAATATAAATATAAAGACTTAATTAAAAAATCTATATTAATTATAAAATTAAAATATATTAATAAAAATAAATATAATGACTAAAAATATAAAAATTAAAAAAATATTTTAACCATATATAATTTAACAAACAATAATTAGTTTTTTTGAACATTATGACATATTGCCACCGCCCAAGGGTTTAGAAAAATCCAATCGTTGATATGTGACCCAAGCTAAGTCATTATTATTAATTTTAATAAGTCTTTGCTAGCGTAGACTTTTTTAATAAGTAAATATAAAAAAATAATCCTTTCATTGATAGCTAAAGGCAATAATAAAATTTGCCTCTAGAAGATGGTGGAATACCGAGATCATTTTATAACACGTCTTTCGTATTTTTATTTAATATATATATATATTTTTAACTATATTATTGATGCACTGATTTTATAAATGATTAATTTTTATAAAAAATAAACCGATCATTTTAGTTAAATGTTTATTCCTTGAATCTTTTCTTATTATAAAAAATATAATTAATCATCTATTACATCTCTTCTCTTTCCTTTTCCAAGTATAGATGAATATCGAGTATGAATGAAGAAAATATTATTCTTTTCTTTTAAGATAAAGAAAATATAGAGAAGACTTTTTGTTTATTTATTTATTTTAATGTGAAAAGGGTTTAAAGTAGACAAGAAAAAACTATATGACCCCCACGTGACACGAACAGCCATTTAAAGTCGTACATGCTTTCATCCGTTGTGTAAACGAAACTCTTCAACATAGGCTGTTTATACTATCATCTTTAACTTGTATTTTTGAACTCTTCAACCATATACAACTTCTTCAACTAACTTTTTATGATTTCTCTCATCTCCTTAATTTTCATCATCAATAAAACCAAAGAGGGTGTGTTAAGACCAGCAAGACTATATTACATAGATATCTTTAATTATTTAAAAAATACTACGCCTATATATTCTTTAATATTAGAATAGCTTCTTTAATTATTTGAAAAAGAAAAAAAATAATTGTTTGGACAGCTCCTACATCACCATATAATTTTTTTTTTAATATATTTTAATCTTTGATAAACATCATTTGTTTTTGCTGCAAATGTAAATCTAATGACTAAGATTTTGCTCCAGAAACAACACAAAAGAAGTACATGCAATCTCATAAAACTTATGATCTACTCTAAATTGAATAATCTAAATTTCTCTTTTTATTTATTTGCTTTAATACTTAAATTTAAAAAATTTCATTTTCTTGCCTCAGAATCAAACAAAAGGATAAGTGGATGGATCACTTGAAACAGCACTAGTACCATTAGGTTAATTAACTAATCTAAACAACAATAGACTTACAAACATGCATGCAGCAGAGAGAATGAGTATCAATAACATACACATACACAACCTTAAAACATACGTATGTACACCTAACATGATTGGTTTGTGAGAGTTCTATTCAGACGTGAATGACATGTTGAGATTGCGAGCAGAGATAGATTAGGAGAAGAATGAATGAGGATCAAGCTTTGGTAAGCAACATCATGGTCTTGAACTCCTGAAAATCAAGGCGTCCATCCAAATTGGTGTCATAGAACCGAATCATGGTTCTGCAATCCTTGCCATCCCACAAGCCAAGCCTCTTCAAGACGCACTCAAGCTCTTGGCTTGTGATGAAACCATCACCATCCAAGTCAAACACCTTGAAAGTCTTCACCAGATCGCTCTCCAACTCCTCAGTGTCTTCACCTCCTCTACTCTCTCCATTCTTCTGCTCCGATATAGAGTTGTAGAAGAACAAAAACTCGCTGAAACCGAGGCTCTTCTTTTCCACTAGAGATTCCAACTCTTCTAAGCTGTAATGGCAAGAATTACCTGTCATCTGGAGCAGCCTGTTCAGCTCCTCAAGGCACACCAATCCGTCGTTATTCACGTCCAGTTTCTCAAAAATACGATGCAAGTCACTTGGGGTTAGGAGACACATGTTGTCAGATAATAACATAAATCTAAAGGATGAATGGATATTCAATATGATACACTACTCTCTGCTCTTATTTTGGTTCTAAATATTAATATATATGTATGAAACATGTGAGATACTGTCAGAGAGATGAATAATATGTGAAGTGAATTAACTATGGCTAAACCAGCTTAGGTACGCGTGAAAACTAACATGTATATGCGATTTTTTGTTGTATTTGTAAATTCTAAATATATGAATAAATAATAAAGGTAACATGCGTGGATGTTGTGGTTTATATTTTATAAAAGTTGTCCTTTGTGTACGGGAATAACTCACAGGTGGACTTGAAAATTCGTTTACGATTTGATCAATGATGCGGATTGCGGAGGGGAATGGTCTAATTAAGCTCAAGGCAATTTGCACGAAGTTTCGCACTTCTTTTCTTTGATGAATCGTGGTCTTTTCTCTGAAAGCGACTCATGTAGGTTCTAGCAATTGGGTATGTCTTTTTTATTTATTTATTATTAATCAACATATGTTGTACAATTAATCTTTGTGGGGAAAAAATTGTTGAAACTAACATGACATTTTTTTTGGGTAAACTAATTATAATGGTTGTCGACTTGAGCTAGTTGGGGTTATAGAAAAAAAAAAGAAACTTTAGTTGGGGCATTGGAAGTCAAACTGAAACGAGAACCCTGAACAGTTGTAACTTTTCAACTTGAGCACGGTTTAAATGGCGGTTGTTGTGAGCCTGAGGTCGCATAAGTGTAATTTCCCGTTATGTGAAGCATATGAATGTTGCGCTGCCTATATTATTATCATTATTATTATTATTATTATTGGGAGTAAACAAAGGAACAAATTAATGTGATGCGCGTTGAGTGCGTGTGTCTTACCAACCTCGGTGTCTTTTCGTGTAAAAGGCCACTTTGGCCCTTTGAATTTGCTGATTTCAAACAAGGATATTCGCATTTGTTTCGGCAAAATTGAATACAAATGATACGAGACACTCCCCCTTACTCAATAATCGATTACATCTTGTTCATTTTAAGCTTTTTGGGATGTCCTCCAAACTAGGCATGGCAATCTAACCCGCCTCCATGGATACCCGCCTGAACCCGCTCCGATTTGGATAGGAAAAACTCGTATTTATCGGGATCGGGTTCGGGTTCGGGTTCAGATTTCCCCGATTGATAAAATCGGGGGCGGGCGCGAGGACGGGAATGTTAATACCTACCCCGCCCCCGCCCCCATACCCGCTCCCGTCCTCGTCCCGCTTAATAATATAATTAAAAAATTATTTATATATATATAAACCAAAATTATAAATATTTATATGTAAAAATTTATATTATTTTACTTTTCTTTTATTTTTTTTTTAAAATTGTTTATATTTATTTATAAAAAAAAAAGAGCAAGAACGGGAATGGAGACACAAATTTTATCCCCGGCAGGTATCAGGAGCGGGGACGGGGAACGTAAAACCCGCTCCGCCCTGCCCCGTTGCCATGCCTACTCCAAACACTCATTTGGCACAAGGAAGATTTTTTTGCCTCTAGGAAGCACAAATTTCACGTTTGCAACAACAAAAATTTTAAACAAAAGTCTAAATCAGTTTAGTGCACGATTTGTTTTCCCTTTAAGAAAGCTTGTATAGTTTCCATTTCAACTTTTTTTTTTTTCTTTTTGTTGCAGAGAGGATAAGAAATTTCTGTTTCACCATACCTTTAATAATGAATTTTATAGTTGACTTTCTTAAGGCGAGAGATTCCTTTAGAAGATAAAATGATAAATTGTAACCAAATTAAAAAAAAAAACGAATGATTAATGTAATAGTACTAGTATCAAAATATTTATAATTAAAAATAGTGACTAATTTCTCTTAAAAAATCGAAAATACAAGCAAAATAAATTATCTTTTTATTTACTGACATTAATTTATACTTTATAGTATTTTATTTGTAATTTATTTATTTATTAAGGCTTGTTTGTAATTATATTTTGTACTTATTTTATTATTGTTGATGAATTTATTTCCAATTATACTATGAACTTGCTTTAATATTGTTGATAGATTTATTAAATACACAATTCATTGAACATTTGAATCATTTTTAATTTTGTAACATTTTTTTTCTCTTTTTAATTATATTTTATTATAAAAATTGAAGATAATTTAAGACAAATAAAAAATAACTTATAATTTTTTTGATAGATTGGCGGGTCCACAATCCAACCTGCAATCCAGCAATCCTTCACGGTTAGATAGAATGAAATTTTCAACTAAAAAAAAATGGATCCATCCCAACTCATTTCTCAACATGTTGAGAATAGGTTGGATTAAGTTGACGCATGAGCAGATCCAGTGATCGTTCACAGAAGCATCAGATACATCACAATTGAAAACAATTATGTATTTTCGAATTTAAAATATAATCGAGAGAAATGTCCTTGGTATTATTTTCCCTTGGATCATGGAGGTAACAAAAATAGGGGGGAAAATATAGGATGGGTAAAGCAATCAACTTGATCTTTACTTTAGTCCAACTTGTTGGCACATTAAATGCACATATGATAATATTTCTACCCACGGATACAAATGTGCTCAATTTCTTTACACCTTCAACTAGGAATGCATAAATAGTTTATCAAATCAAAGTGGGGGCAAAACTTATGAACAAAATAATACATTAGCACTCGTACCCATCAAACACCTAAAGGTTGAGAGGGAAGGGGAGAGAAACTCTGCAAAACTTCCGATGCCACTGCTTAGAACAAAAGAGCTAAAGAGTACAGAGACACGTTACAGAAGAGACAAAGAATAATGAATGTAGCATGAGGGCTAAATCTTCTTCGAACAGATGCATGTTCAAGCCTTCAAGTGAAATTTGCCAGGCTCAGAGTATTTCGTTTCTAGCTGCTCAATTTTGTTAAATTTAAAACCCCTGATTCTCAATACCTCAGGCACCGAGGTATCTTTGTAGTCAACAGTTTCAAGGATCCAACCTTTGTTTTGAACTGAACCACTCACGTTTACCTATTTAATTTTTTAAAAAAAATTCCAGCATCAGTTTAATATTTTCATTAAACAAAAAACATGCGCATTTAGGAAATAAAAAGATAAAATATTGATAAATTTGCCTTGTCATACCTCTGCATCATGCACAGCATCAATGATTAGAGCCCCATCTAAGGACAAATTTTCAATAAAAATATTTTGACCCTTAATGGCCAGAGTAGATCTTTCGGAAATGGAGCAATTTCCACCGACTTTGCTCTTGATCAGAGAAAAAGTCAGACCCCATTTTGGCTTCCATGTGACACGAGGCCAAACTTCAACCTCTTGCCCATTCAAGACCTGCAATACTGGATCTGCTACTTGGACACCAGCCTGGCAGGAGAAAAAAAAATGCAGAGAAAACTACTCAGTTGTTGTCTGATGTAGGCTGCAGTTTTAAAATTGGCACGAAATGAGGTAAGAAATGGCATAGATATACAGACGTAAGAATTCTAAAATCAACCTGGAGACAAGGAAGATCCATGGGTTTGAAAAACATTCGTAAGCAAAAATGTAAATTGTATGTATCTTAGCAGGCCCTTTTATAGGCATATTAGAGCTTCACTGGCAAGTAAACAATCTTGTAGAACTTTCCTAATCCATATAGTGTTCTAAAGGAAATTCTATTCTGTCACAAATACTTTAACAAAACCTAAAATAACAAGTCAATATTTTTAAAACTAATTTCTATAGAAATTGCAATAAAATCATTAAAAAAATCAAGACATTACTAATAATGAAATAAACCTATGCGTCTTAGCACTTAAGACTTGCGGGTAAAAGCTGTTACCTTTTTGAGAATAAGGCTATTTGCACGATAGATGGCCATTTCTCCGGAGGTTGCACTATGGTATGGATTTCCTTTCGGCACCTTCAGTATTATTAACAAAACGTATAAGAAATAATGTCTCTCTTGAAAAACTTTCAGTGAATTAAGATACCATTATTCAAAACCTCTAACCATCAAATAACATTTCAAATCCAAATTTCCCAATTGCATACAAACTTTTGGTTAGACATTTTCCGTCTGCTACAATTAAGTATCAGTGTACTATATACACTTCCATCGGGAATCAAGGGCTCAAAATTCATACTCCCATTATTTCTTTTTATCAACTTTGTTTCTCCATGTTTAAATTATTACATTAGAATTTATGTTGTACCTTAGCAGCTTCCTCAGCATTATTCTTCACAGGTGCATAAGCAAGCCATGTTTCCATCACCTGCACAATTACATAGAACCAGTGAGGTTGCACCAAGTATAACAACCAATCATCCATTAACTAAAGTGACATCAGCATGGATGGCCTCCATCTGTAACCTAAAAGGTTAGGTCCAAGATGGGAAAGTCAAGCTTGATAAGCATTGCTCTGCCGAGATTTATGTACTTTTCTCCAATAGAAAATTTACCGTGAATCCAACCCTGGCAGATGGGGGCAATGTTTTTGGGTAGTCTTGCATCATACATTCAAGTCGAGTTGAGGACTTAAATGAAGTTTTGGTGGCATCTTTATATCTACAGTCAAGAAACATAGCTTTGATGATATAACAGTAAGAAAACATGCCCCATAAGTTCCATAAAGTGTAACAGTGGTTCACTGAAATACAAATAAGATATTAAGACTAAAATTAATGTTCCTTATTTATAACAATGTTGACATCAATATCAACATACTAAATTGAACTTTAGGAGGTTGGTGAATTCAGCTGAATCAGTTTCTTCATTAAAATGTATTAATGGACTCAAGCCAAAGCAGTTATTTATTTATTTTTATTAAAATGCATTAGTGGGCTTAAGGAGCTACCAGTGAAAAGTCATAAACGTACATGACCTCATAACTAGTCATCTGAATCAGTTTCTTCATTAAAATGTATTAGTGGGCTTAAGCCAAAGCAGATTACTATTTTTTAATTATTAATAAAAAGTAATCCATAAAATAATGCTAACTCTTCTACAACATTATAGAACTTTTGAAATCGAAGTTAACATTGATCAATCTGGAAAAAGAAAAGACAAGAAAAAAAAGACAGTAAAGTCTAATGTAGCAAAAGCATACAATACAATCAAAGAATATCAAGGCATACAATACAATCAAATGTTGCAAACAATACGGGAAAATCTAAAGAAATCCTATATTTTGACCCATTTGCACTTTGGTCCTATTACTTTCAAAATGTGCAAAATGGTCCTCAAATCAAACTTTTCAAGTTGTGTACTGTACTCCAATTCGATACAACTGTTAAAAAATGGACCAAAAATGCGAAGCACCGTGATTCCAGAATGGTCCTACAATAACCAGATAGTGTGACGTGTACTTTTGTATCCACTCTTTTAACAGTTGTGATAGAATTGGAGTAAAGTGCACAACTCAAAAGATATGTGTACAATTTTACATGTTTTGAATGTATCATGACCAAAGAACATATGGGTCAAAGTACGGGGAGTTTTTTTAGAGTTTTCCCAAATAAAGAAGATAGTGAGTATAAAAGAATTACTTTGGATTAACGAACTCCTGAATGGCACCTCCTGTTTTTGAGAGTTCTTCAATATAAGCACCAAGTTCTAAAATCAACTGTTAGAATAAGATATTGTCTGTTGTCACTATGATATTGTCTCTATGCAATCATGGTATAATCATGACAGTTCAAATAATAATAATAATAATAATAATAATAATAATTTACAGTTTCAATTATAACTAAGCCACGGTTATCACTGATTGATATTTCTAGTATTCCAAACATAATGATTATGAGTTAAAATACAGGTAAGAATAATACATCATTCCAACAATAGATAATTGAAAAGGTAAATTCAATCAGAGAGGGGACGGGAGGAGAATGTTGAAGTATGAAAGAGGGTTACTTGGTTAATATTTCCTGGAAATGGGGAGTAGCCAGTCTCACTATTTACATCGCCATCAGGGTATCCACTCGCTCTAAGAAGAGGATCTAGCTGATTGTATTCCACATTTATCACCATAGACCTCCCTAATTATGTATTTGAATTAATCATCAAATGCTAAAAATATGAATTCAGGGAAATCCATAGTGGCACTGACATAATGAAGTCAAGATAGAGATACATTATTTATATAATATTAACATTTGAAAGAAAAAAAAATATCAAGCCTGGAAAAGTATAAGAAATAGCAATTTAAAAGTGCCTTTAAATAGTAAAAATACATGGCAACTGATTACTTGGTGCAGACAAATGTTCTGGATTTCAAACTTTAAACTTACTCAAAATACTTTTTTCTCAAACAAAATGATCTTTCTCAGTAACAATTGAATTTAATTTGGTAGCATTTTCAATCCTTGAGAGAAAGAAAAAAGAGGGGCACACACACCCTTACAGAGAGAGAGAACAAAAGTGATAAAAAGTGGTGACGAACATTTAGCCATCACAAATTTACAGATTCACAATGTGAATTGTATTGGTTCAAGTGAATACCTGGAAGATCAACATCAAATTGGTTCAACATTATGAATACCTATGAGCAATGTGTTATTAAAGTAGATACTAATACCCATATTAACTTATTATCTTTGTATAACAGTTGGTTAAAGACAAGATTTCCAAACAATGCACAATATTTACAATATTTTATTATCTATAAAAAAATATAAACCACCCTTAAATCAATATCAGTGGATCATGTTCAATCTTATAAACCATCTTGCTTCCATAAACTGTCATTGTCTACCATCTCCCCATTAATTATGATAAATAGTATGTTTATAAATTTACAGTTTCAAATTACTTTACAGGTAAGAAAGAAGTTATATTCTACAGTGACATACACCAAAAACAAATATATTATTCTCATTTCTCACCCACATTAATATAACATACATCAGCATTGCTTTCTTCGTTTGTGAGGGATGAAACAATTAGCTTACCATCAGAGTGAGTGAGTCTGGTAATTCCACCAATAGCTTCTTTTGCTTTCCGTGGTACTGCAAGAGAGTTAACATGGTACTGTTTCGTAGCACTGACACCCAGTGCTGATGGAATTGCCTGTTTCCTCAAATTACTAGTCAGTGAAAACTTCAAATATATTCATGGGTAAACCAGAAAAATGTGTCCGAAGTACAAAATGCCAAAATAACTAACCTTGAAAAGAAGCCCATTTGTATCTTGAAAAAAGAGAACCCATTTCAACCCAGCATTATGCCTAACAAATGTAAATCATTATATAAAATTATAAATATATAAATTTATGATCAAAGTATAAACAAAAGACAAAAATCCCTTTGCACTTTAAATTTCTTGGATTTCTAGATTACAACAAGCCCATCAATTTACAGAATTAAAATCAATATTTATAGTTTTACATAATAGCTTTTTTGGTATGCCAAATATATTCAGAATATTCTTTAAATTACTTAGACATATGTAGTCAAAAGATTTATCAAATGTCAGCAACTTAGAAAAATGATATTGACGACACAAACTGATTCTAAAAGATAGTAAATTGTTTGCTTCGTACCATTTTTTCAGAATGCCGCTTGAATAAAGAAGTGAATGCACATCACCATGCCCATGAGGTTTTGTCTACCCAAAGAAAAATGGTTAATAAATTGCACTTAGTTTGAACATCTAATTATGAGGTTTAATAGAATGCTTTTGATTCATTGCTTTTTTCTAAATAAGCTTCCCAGTTACACAATCATACTGGTACCCTGCACAACAATACCTGAATTTTGTACTTGTTTTGTGGTTCCAATGCAAGCCTGGCATCGTTATCTTCTAAGCATGCAACTTTTTCCTGAATTACATACAAAGTTAAGAATTAATTAAAGAAGGGTTAAACTAAAATTTTGGTCCATAAACCTAATACTAGTTTTTTTCATTTTAGTCCCTCCATGAAAAAACTAAAATTTAGTTCCAAGTTCCAACATGAAAAAACATTTACAAACTGATCCTTGTCGTTTTCCAAAGTCATAACAGTATCAGATTTAGTCCCTACAGTTGACACCATTTTTTTTTTACATTTTGGTCCCCAAAGGAAATTGTTTTAATACTGTTATAACTTTAATAAATGATAGGGACTACATTGTAAACAATTTTTCATATAAAGAACAAAATGTAGAGTTTTTTCATGTAGGGACTAGACCAGAAACAGTGTTGGATATATGAACTGAATTATAATTTAACCATTTAAATATTAAATACAAATTGAATTTTCCAAGAGATATCCAAAGACATACCTGCTTTAAAAGTGTTACTTGTGCGGGTTGCATACCAAAATAAGAATTTGATTCTAATAGCTCTAAAGTACGTCCATGGGTGTCATCAGATGTCATAATAACAAAAGGAATCTCTGTCTGGGATTCACCTAAATGTTGAAATTTGAAAAGCACGACCATTAATTCAAAACAAGAGAGTGGGCTAATATTTGAAAGAAGGCAGACAAAAAAAGAAAGTCTGAGAGTACTTTACGATAAAATTCTTACAGCAGAAAATGTTTTTCAAGAAAAATTTACCAGAGAGTTTTCTAGGAAGCTATTTTCTATTGGGAACATTTCAAAGTTCAAGTTACTGTCTATAACTTTAAGCACAAAAAAGTAATTTTCCATCAATACAATGGACTCTTGGTCATATAAATTGGGTATAATTTAAACAAACTATCTATTGTTTGTATCAATATGCACACATCAGTGTTTCTTTTTGTTTTACCACATAAGTAACCAAATCAGGAGGACGGACATGACTCTTATTTTTATATAAGAATGGCAACAGATACTAACCTTGTGAGCTGGCTTCTTGAAGTGCCAATATAGATTCAATGTAATGCTGTATGAAACATGTTCCGGTAGTGGTTTCTGCAGGAAGAGCAACCTGCAAGAAGCAGAAGCTACAGTTAAGAATCAGGAACTAATCCCTTGGCATACAGGAATTGTCCACACACACAAACACAACACGCCCTTTATGAGGTATCAGAAGTAGGGCCAAGAGTCTAAAACTATGAAAAGGCATGAAACATCCATTAGTAAGAAGCTTCCATAACCCCATAGGCACAGACAATGAAAATCGTACCCAATTGTAACAAGAAAAAATGCAGCAAAGACTCCAACAATCTTTATATCACTATTAGAGTTCTAGAGTTTCTGTCAATGCATGTCAGCAGCACAAGTGATTTAGGTTTTATAGATAACTCTCATTCTTCCCATGCAGTGGGTTCAATTCCCCCTAAATCAACTAAAATTCCGCTTGGTGGGTAACTCCCATAAGGGAAATCAGTTGGCACCCAGGGGACAGTTAAGCAGTTGCAATGGGGGTAAACCTGCTTGCAGTTTAAGTTTAAGCCTATACAATAATTCTCTTGGTGGACCTCTGCTAGCAATTCTAGCGTGTCATTGACACCATGCGTGATATTCTACCATTTTTCCCATCAGAACTCCGGTGGGGTGGGTAGGGGAGTTTAAGAGTTTCTTTCTTTTCCATACACTCAAACTTTCTTAAAATACATTCATTGACATACATACATTTACCACATCACAATACTCTGTTTTGAAAGGAGGGGAAAGAAGATTATTCTATCATCAGACTAGGAAAAAAAAAATCACTAGAATAAACATTCCACTAACATGCGTGTTTATCCCCATTACACACAATAGCAGAGCAACAAATTAAGAATAACACAGGGTGACGAGGCATACCTTAATCCCGCTGTATCCCAAACGCTCGCCAAGGCCACCGGCAACAAGAACAAACGCAGCTTTCCGAGCTTCCCGTACACCTGCTTCCTCATAATTGATGTAGTTCTCATCACCAAATATCATAGTCTCACCCGTTGGAACCTGAAAAATGATCACCATAGTCTCGTTCATCATTCCACGGCTATACCGATAATCGAATTTAATTACAGCGCCATACATGCTTATATTTAGACATGCAACATCGAAAATATAAGCATGGAAAAACCACTCACGGAAGGTGTGAAGCCATCGAAAGGGTTTTTGCCAGCCTTGGAATCAGCCAAGAGCCGTTTAGCGTTTTTGATGTAGGCTTCGAGACCGCCAGGGTAACACGAATCAAGTCGAACGAGCTAATGAAAACGCAGCGTCGTTTAGCGAAGCAAAGAGCAGATACATACAGTCACAGATCTACGTTATGTGATTGAATTGAATTGAATTGAAGGAAGAAACGAAACCTGGTCGAAGAACGCTTTCTTCTGGTCGTCGTCGACGCCGGAAGCTGGCCAATCGCGAAACAGGTGCTCTTGGCCGTTATTCAGCAGCATCTTCACCAACTCTTGCTGTGTCGCGAAGCGGAATCAGAATCAGAATCAGAACAATTCGTTGAAATAGGAAAACGTAGAAATGAAAGAGAAAGAGAAAGAGAGAGAGAGAGAGAGAGAAACGGAACCTGTTGAGGCGAGAGAAGGTTGAAGTTGTCGCCGATAGAGGAAGCCATGGATTTGGAATCGGTGAGGAAGAGAGTGGGAGTGAGTGAAAGGTGGTGTGCGCACAGAACAGAAGAACGAACATCAAAATAAATGCAAATTCTATTGTTTGTTACTATTTATATTATATTATTATATTATTTTTATTAACCGCTGAACCGGGGGTGCCGGTGAGTACGTGGATCTGAATTCTGAATCTCATCCAACGACGTCAACTTCATTTCTGACCGGAAGGCACGGGTCACGGTCAGTTAGTTAATGGGACCCACCATCTACACAGGTGGCACCAGCACTTTTCTTCTACTACTCTTGTTGGATCGAGATTCTTTCCAGTTAAAGATATCAACCCTTTACAATGTTTTTTTTTTTTTCCAATTTAAACCCTTGGGTTGGATTTGATTATAAATGCATAGGGCACAGTTGAATTCCGACTTCATTGCGTTATTCACCCTTATGAAAAAATGCACATCAATTGAAATTTTGATTATCTTTTAAAATTTAAGGACATGATTAGTAAGAATTGGGACTTTCAATGATGATTTCTTAGCATCTAATGTTTTTTTTTCTTCTTTTTTTCTTTTCTTTTTTACACCAGCACTTAAGAGTCAGATGAGCAGGTTGTAATGTAAGGTTATTATCCATAATATTTTCATTCAAAATAAAGTTATTTTTGATAACAAAATAAGTTTTTTATTATTTTCATATATTTAATTTTGTTAATTGCTTATGTTTGATAATTTAATTTATATTTTTAAATTAAATTATAATTTTAATATCAACACTTATATATTAAATATGAATATTTCTCTTATACGAGAATATTTTTTAAAATTTTTTTTAATAAAAGAATTTGTAGGAATTTTTTTAATTTCTTATCTAATTTGATTTTTATTTATCATAATAATTTATTAATATTTTAAATTAAATTATGATAAAACTTTTTTTGTTACAAATAAAATTATTTATGATAAATTTAAAATATAATTTATATGTTTAAAAATATTTATGTATAATAATTTTAAATATAATTTATATATTTAAATATAATATTTATATATATAATTTATTATAAAATTTAATTATATATAATAAATATTTAACATGTGTATTACATATGCTAAAATACTAGTTACTATATAAATTATAATAATTATTTAAATAAGAATAATTTTAGAAATATTTTTAATGATTAAATATAATAATTATTATTAATTATTATATGCTGATAAAAATATTAATTATTACACTCTTTATTATTTTTTTAACCAAAATTTTAATCTAATTTAATATCTTAATTAATATAATTATTATATATATATATATATTAATACTAATTAAATACATTTTAAAATTATTATCTACTCTATAATAATTGTATAATAATTGAATCCCTATAATCACAAACATTAAATTTTTTACAAGGAAAATTGATTTATTTTTTAATAATTAATAATCATTAATTATTAGATTTTGATCAAAAATTTATTTTTATTGTTTTATTTCTATTTAGAATTAATTTTAATTTTTAAAATTTTAATTTTCTATAATTGAGAAATAATCAAATTCAATCCTTAATTATCATATAAATGAATTTAATTTCAAATGTTCAACTATTTTATCTCACAATTAATATTACTTTATATTTAATATTAGTTACTATAATGTTTAATATTTTTGTGTAACTAAAAATTTAATCAAAATCAATTTCTTAATTAATTTAGTCACAAATATGTGTTTATATACATTAATATTTCAGAAAAATACTTTTAAATTATTATTTTTGTGTGTGTGAGTATTTTTACATACATATATTTATTTATTTTAGTTGAGTTTTTGCTTCTGAATTTACTAGATTTAAATTTATAATATTTTAAAAATAATAAATATGTTTACTCAAATCTAATTGAAATTTGACATAAGTGCTACTGATTTATATTCCTTAACCAAGATGTGCAAAATTTGAATCTTAGTACTTCATACCATTACTATATAAATATAATAATTAATACTACTTATTATATGTTGTTAAAAAATATTAATTATTATTTTTTATTATTTCCATTAGCCAAAAAATTAATCTAATTCAATAACTTAATTAATATAATAATTATATATATATATATATATATTAATACTAATTAAATGTATTTTAAAATTATCATTTGCTCTATAATAAATGTTTAATAATTTATTTTTTATAATCTCAAACATTACATTTTTTTTATCAAGTTTGTTAATTATTGTTTTGTAACAATAATTTGCTCTATAAGTTTGTTAATTATTGTTACAAAACAATAATTAACAAACTTATAGGACGTAACACTATAAGTTTGTTAATTATTGTTTTGTAACAATAATTGTTTATATGGTGTTTGAGGTGTGTTGTGGGACTTAGAGAGTTAAGAAACTCTCAAGAGTTTGATTAATTTTGAGGGTTTCTAGCCAGAAGTCTAATTGACCTCGAGGGAATGAGGTATTTAAGATTTTTGTTAAAAATGAGTCTTATAAATTCATGTTCTTTAAAATCTAGAGAAGTAAACTTTGGTTCCTTAAGCTTTCTTCTTCCCTTCTTCTTTCTAGATTCCTCTAATATGTGGGGATCGTTGTTAGATTATAGACTCAAAGCTTGAAGTTGAGAATCAAGTTGATGGTTTTGGGACAAAGCTTTCTTGGAGCTCGGAGTTTTCTATTCCCTTCTTCCTTTTTTTGGATTGATTTCAAGGTAAGGGAAGCTTGAACTCAAATCTTGATAGATTGATAGTTGAATGTATTGTGAATGAGTTGAATGGATGATTATATGTATGATTCTTAGATGAAGTTGATGACTTGATAAACGTTTGTGTCGTGAGTTCATAGAAGTGGATTTTTGGGTGAATGACCCATGTTGTTGTTACTTGTTGCTTGTTGCATGTTGCTAGGGTTGGAATTGAGTTGCTTACGTTGCATTGCATGTTTGGTTTGGGCTAATTTTTAGGTTTTGGAGTGCAATTTTCTTGATCTACAAGTGTAGATTCTTATGTCGCATTAGGCGTGCTTTCATGGTGTTGAATGTGCCTTCAATAGAAGCCTTATTCTACCCATGCTAGGCATGAAAAGGGAGGTGTTGGGCATAAGTCAAGAGAATTGCCTTAGGTTGAAGTGGCATCAAACGTGGTTCATGTCAAGCGTGAAGTGGGAGAATTGTCTCTGCCTAGATTAACAACGGGCATAAGGAGAGAGAATCATTTTGCATTAACATGAGGCTGGGCATGGGATTTTTTCATGCCAGGCGTGAGGTCCCAAGGGCCCACTACTTTAGTCATGTTAGTCATGGGTTGAGTAGCCCCAAGCATAGGCGGGGCAAAGAACTCCTTGCCACAATGGCGCCAAGCATTAGGTAAGTTACGTCGAGCATGAGTTGTGTTATGATTTGCATGTTCCCTTATGAATAATTTGGTGAACATGAATAAAATATATGGGTTTATTGAATGTTGTATGAAGTATGATGTTGTTGACCATTAATATGCTATAATTGTATAAGCGAAATTAGTGATGAGACATGATATGCTATGTCTGATTAATATGCTATAGTTGCAAGGTTGGAGTGTTGAATAGGCATTGGTATGCTATACTTGATTGAGATGTTGAGTATTAGTATGTTATTCTTAAATGAGTTGATAGACATTGGTATGTTACACTAGAATTGTGACACCCTCTACCCCGCATACCATACCACATAAATAATAAAATTTGAATAACACAATCTTTCATAATTAAAATACCAAACATTTTTAGATAGAGAGCACCAAATTCACGACTTAAACAAATAACATAATGAGCGGAAATTACAAAAGAAATAATGCTAAGGTTTCCAAAATAATAAGAATAACATCCTAATCTAATCCTATCTAAGCTCCGATGTCATGTGTTCTATCAGAGCAAAGCCCAACATTAAAGCCTAAGCTTCGCCACCAACATCTTCAACCTCATGCTGATAATCACCTGTATAATAGTCAAAGGAAAATAACACAAAAGAATAGGGAGTGAGAAACATCTTACTCTGGCTCACGGTGTAGGAATATACATCGGATAGCCAAACACAAACAAACATATATATTTGTACATAACATAGATAGATTAACAATAATATCTCATTCCTCTCATCAAAGGCATAAAAATCACTTTAAAATATAACATTAAAATGCACATTTAATGGACACGGACTACATATTATCATGCATGTGGCGCCAGTAACACATGTCACATGGAGTATTTCCGCTAGCAATACACGAGAGTATTCTAGGAGTACATGTTGGGTCACACCCTCTACGCACTCTCACTAGAAGGACATACTACCAAGGTGTAGTCAGGACAGCTAAGCCGCACAAGATACATCCCATGCACACAATGGGCGAGATTGGGACTTATAAACCGAGTTATCCCCAATGACTAATCCCCAAGAATTTACACAAGGGGGCCTTCCTTGGCGGTGTATTCCATATCGTACCCTTAAAAATATTTATGCAAATGATGCATGTCAATCAAGACTCTATGCATTATCATATCACATTATCATGTCTCATTATCATATCACATCGTCATGTCTCATTATTATATCACATCGTCATGTCTCATTATCATATCACATCGTCATGTCTCATTATCATATAACATTGTCATGTCTCATTATCATATAACATCATCATGTCTCATTATCATATAACATTATCACATATCCTCATATCTCATGTCTCATATTCACATTTCACATTATCTCCTCATATTCACATAGTCTCCACAAAGCACTTTAATTCATATCAAAACTTGTCTATTTGCGAAATTAAATACATATTTGTACATCTCTTTCAACAAGGAATACAACAACAATCAAAAAGTAAAACAGAAAGCATTCATATTTTTCCTGTTTCTCATAAGGTTCTCTCAGGAACCCACAGAGCACTCTAATTCATACAATAAATATTTAAAACAATACAACTTACTCATACATACATACTAATTACATCAATTAGAACATTCAAGAAGAAACAGAGATGAAACAGATACAATTGAGGAAAACCCCTCATACATGAGCATACAACAAACATTACAACAAACATA